CAGTAAATATAATATCACTTCAGGCTAGAACTTTGGTTCTCTCATGCAATAATTCATCACAGAGGGGAAGCTCGGTAGTCCTCATCGGATGCTCATGACGCTATTCTGCCACGGCATGAACCAACGATGCCGGACCTAAACCAACCGTCTCAAACGCTCCACTATGAAGCATAAGATTAGGCCCGCCCACCAACGTCCAGGTTTAACACTAGCCAAGGGGAGGGATCTGTATTTTTTAGAGGTTGATAGACTGAATCTACATGAGGTTTGACTTAGTTTTATTAAAACGCGTCTTATTCGACAACCCTTTTTCCAATTGTCTTTTACATAATTTTAGATTTAATAATGTTTCCTTATGCAATGTTGAGACTGCAGAGTTATAACATGTTATAATAAGAAAACATATCAAGGTAGCCATCAAGACATCATTAATTGGAACTTCTTTCTGACTTATGCCTTGTTCGACTATGTTATAATAATTATAAATGTCAAGCTACTTAGGCTTATAACATGTTATTAGCCTGGAGGTGTTTAAGTAGCCAGTTAAAGTTTCAATTTAAGTTTCACCAATGGAAATTCTTTCTGATGAGCTTTAATTTGTGTTCATGAGCGGGATTATTTAGAATTATTTCTAGTATTTGGAAATTTCGGATGTAGTAAACAAAGTTGGTACTTACATTTCTTATCAGTTTATTTTATTCATTGTAAATTCAATCACTGCATCGAAATACCAGCAAAACAAGAACCTTATAATAAGAAAACATATCAAGGTAGCCATCAAGACATCATTAATTGGAACTTCTTTCTGACTTCTGCCTTGTTCGACTATGTTATAATAATTATAAATGTCAAGCTGCTTAGGCTTATAACATGTTATTGGCCTGGACACGTTTAAGTAGCTTTCACCAATGGAAATTCTTTCTGATGAGTTTTAATTTGTGTTCATGAGCGGGATTATTTAGAATTATTTCGAGTATTTGGAAATTTCGGATGTAGTAAACAAAGTTGGTACTTACATTTCTTATCAGTTTATTTTATTCATTGTAAATTCAATCACTGCATCGAAATACCAGCAAAACAAGAACCTGGATGGCTGAATAAAACTGCTGATGAGCTTCCATGGGAAGAGTCGATTTAATCCAGCTAGAAACATACATTTTAAGGTTAGGATTGCGCTCAATGTTTACATGATTTTATGATTACCTTCCGGAAGCCGATGTCCTTAGCGTATTCCCTGAAGCACTGTCGGCAAATGTTGAGACCGTACTTGCGGATCATACCGTGATTGTTGGAACATGCCCGGCTGTAAAAACGAAACAAAAATTATTAAAATTTGGACTTAGCCGTGACGTCACGGCGTTGAGTACACATGTGCCGATCCGTTGGAATACGAATCGTAATAAAAGAAATATTTAATTATATTTCTGAATTAATAATACGAAGGCAGAATAATAAAACCGTATATTCACCAGAATCGGGAGCCTTGCCCATATTTACGGGGATGCGAATACCAGAGATCAGAGAAACCCATTTTGTCTGCTCGGAAATTTTAGCAAGAAAGAACTAATTGACGTTTTACTGACAGAAAGTGAAAGCCGGAGCTACCAACCTGTCAACATTAAATATACGCTAAAACTTGTTTCCTTCCATTGGAAGATTGCCGTAAAAGCTCGACGCAGATGTCGCCACTGCATGATGATGATAATGTTGACAGACTGCATATAAAATTCGTGAAAATTTGCATTAAATCATAATTTTCATCAAGCCTGCGTGAAATCCTTCCAATATAACATTCGAATTGAAGAAGAAAATGTTTTTACGATCAGACTGATGTGCATCTTTGACTTTTCCAGATGAACTTTCATAAGATATATTCATTTCATTTCACGGCTCCATCAATGCTGCATCGTACGTATGATGTAAACAGAAGTAAATTGCTAAATTACTCAAAATAAAGATGATTTGTTATCTTGTTAACACTTTATAAACCATCGAGCACCATTTTATAGTATGATGCGTGTTGAGTAAATCAAGTTCCATTGCGTTTTCCGTCGAAAATTGTGAGTATCAATATGTTTACCTAAAAAAGGCCAAAATGAACATTTATTGAAAATTGGCGTCCTATACAACCATTTCTACATTATCACCAGCATGATACAATCTTTCCTAAGTAAATTCACTTAATTTCCACTTTCATCCTAGTGGAAATCGCACAAATTCACCATTTTCCGAAAAATGCAGCTGCACAGGAGGTAGCCTCTACCTGTGGGTGTAAACTTGTTGTGCCTAATTTTCCATGAAAACATCTCCGATCCATACCGAAATAATAACAGTTAGTTTGCAAACACGTTTTCTTACACGATTCAAGCAAAAGTTTCCACCGGAAATTATTAGTTTTTTATTTATGTACCGATTTGCCCCCAAAATCGTCTGTTTTACTTGGAGAATTTGGAAACTATCCTCCTTCTAGTAGTTCTCACTTCGAAATGTAGGTGGCGAAAGCTTGGAAAAGTTTCACTGCAAGACGCCAATTCTGTATGAACGGATGATTTCTACAATAGATGTCGCTACTATTGATGAATTTACGCGGAATTGCACCAGGTGCGACACCTAGGTTTGAAATCCAAAACCACAAAAGTGATGATCTACTAAAATATATTCCATGACATTCCAAAAACATTCCAGGTAGCAAAACGTCATTATCATTTTCACATCATTTCCATCTGCTGGTCGACCGTAACGTAAATAATTTACGTTACGGTCGACCAGCAGATTCATCAATAGAATACTCTGGAAGAAATGGGAAACCAAGTTTGAACCGGCCACCATGGCGTTGCATTCGCAGCGGTGAGGAGCCCGAAATTAATCATTTTGCAGACCCCCTTCACTCTTTGGAATTTATAGAGACAGATAACAGCGCCAATAGGTCTTTGGCGATACAACGTTGAACTGCAGCGTTGGAAGAAAACACACACACCATCATCTATACATGTACGAACCCACACCGCTGAGCGTCGAGTAGTCGAGAATTGATGATTTATGAAGCTGTTGCTCAACATAATAGAAGTTGCATAGAAGTATACATGGAAAAAACGCAACGTATCGAAATCATTGCTAAACAAACGTAATAAAATATGCCGTCTTCCTTGGCCAACGCTGCACGCTAGAGTCGGTGTATAATGAGTCACGCCAAGAGTGAAGCCAAGTCTACCTATTGAACCGTCAAACCGGCTACCTATCGGGCAAAGTAAACAAACATTACGATGCTATGAAAGGTCCACGAAAGGTATTGCAATAAAATATAAAATATAATCGAAGAAATGAGTATAAACATGCAGTGAGCATATAATTGCCATGGGATACGTTCGGTAATGATCAGTAATGAGGATTTCGTCTATTTTTTGTTAAGATAATTTGACAAAATCACTGATATAATGATTTACTACAGCCGCATTTTTTTTCTCTCGCTAGAAGTCATTTGAAGTTGTTGTAGAAGTCCTCTGTTGCCAAGTGAAAAGAATGGAAATCTTTCGAAAACCGTGATGCGAGTTCAACTGGTTTTCTCTTGGCGTGACTCATTATACACCGACTCTACTGCACGCTATTGGCTATTCAAAAATTACGTTGGAATAATGATTTCTTTTCTATTTTATAAAGAAGGTATTTTTCAATGACGGCGAATTAAATCGTAAACTAAAGCTGCCGAAGCTGAGTGATGACGATGAGTAATGACACCACTTCGTGTTTTGATTTGCGCTGTACCCTCCGCTCAGTGGTGTGGGTTCGTACATGTATAGATGATGGTGTGCGTGTTTTCTTCCAACGCTGCAGTTCAACGTTGTATCGCCAAAGACCTATTGGCGCTGTTATCTGTCTCTATAAATTCCAAAGAGTGAAGGGGGTCTGCTTCTATGCAACTTCTATTATGTTGAGCAACAGCTTCATAAATCATCAATTCTCGACTACTTTTTCGAAGGGACGTATCGGCATTTATTATTGTTTTCTCAAGCTTTTCTGATGCGTATAACGTGGTAATGATTGAAAATGGATGCAATCATAACGAAGTGAGAATCTTGCTATCGCAATATAATGATGATGACATCGATCATCCTCTTCCCTCGGCTGATCATCAACGTCCACGCTGATATATGTCATACTGACACCTGTCATTTATTGAGCCCTGGTGGTAAAGTTGGCGGGGGACTCCCAACAGTTTCAATGTGCACTCACGAGATGGCACTGCGATCACATAAGGGTGGTGTATCCATTGCCTTGTTCGAGGAATTGATTTGTGGGATATCTTGTTAATGAAATATCTTTGCATTTTGTCAAGCTTCTTCATTTTTTTTTAATAATTCGTTTATTTTTCCTTATTTGCTGTAGCTTTGCGGAGCCGATATTCATTGTTTAGATAACAAAATTACTTAAAACTAACGTTAGTAAAGCGGGGGCCGATTACTCGCGGCTATCTCGAGGTTAGCGGTAACAAATTGTAACAAATGGATGGCAGGGTAGGGATTGTGAACACGAGGTTTGTGCTCTTGATCTCGAACTATGTGGCACTCTGATGAAAAAGACAAACATGGGGGTACACCGCTGGGCAGCTAACAACTTGGGAGAACACAAGATGACACTAACTACTAAATCATCAAATCTATCCGTTTTAAAAACACATAAATTAAATTCAAATAGTCGAGGTCTCGACTCGCCAAGACATCTCTAACGGGTATCGCGGGTTGTTTTCCTCGGGCCCTGAGGGATGTAGATTACTCAGATCTGGCAACACCGAGGGGGACGACTCTATCTACGATGCAGGAAATATTGTGTTTTGCTGTAGCTAGCTGTACGTACGCTGAGTAGATAGAAAGAAGATTTATTACGATTTTGAAGATTTCCTTTCAAAAAGATGATGCGCGATGCAAGTAGATGCGAGAAATGAAAGAAGATTTTTCGAAGATATATTCGCTAGTGTGAGATTTGGCGAGCATCTAGAATTGCGATTTAGATGTGTCGCCCCCCTCGGACAACACGGTATAAGGTACATGACCAAACAACATGCTCGATATCGTGATAACCACTACCACACGCACATAAATTGCTGCCTGAGAGCCCAATTCGATAGAAGTGCGAGTCTAACGAGCAGTGATTGGACATAAGCCTTGATATAACGCGTATAAAGTCGCGGCTCATATCCAACTCTTTGAACCATGGTTTGTTCGACACCTGTGGGAGAATAGAATGTAACCATCTTCCCAATTCACCATCATTCCATTTTTGTTGCCAACTGGACTTGCTGACGAGAAATAGAGAAAAATTCGTTGAAGGCGATTTGTCGCTCAAAAATATCGCCTTCCATAGCGCCCACCTTAGCCAATGAGTCCGCTTGTATGAAATGTATAAGTGGTCACACATACCTTTTATGCATTCTTATAGGACCTATGTGGTTTGTCGTATGGAATGTATACACACTATTTTTATATCGCTGGAAACCAGCAAAATTTTGCTGGATTTTACCGAGCTGTAAAACCAGCAATTCTTCCAGCAAAATATTTTTGCTGAACGACCAGCAAATTGACCCTACAGAAAAGTGACAGCTGTTTACTGGAAATTCAGCAAATTAGAGTGGCAAATACCAGTTATTTGATACAAAACAATTGAATTGGAATTGGTTTTCAAACTGATATAAAACTTAATTGTATTTGGTATTTGATTACACGCATGAACATTTCACATATCAATCACATTGATTATTGTGTACACACCAAATTTTGGGATCGAGTTCCAGCAAAACAAATTGCTGAATGGCTTCCAGCAAAACTATATCTTGCTGCATGTTCAGTAATTTGAGATATTTTGCTGAATGCTCAGTAACTTGTATGAAACGTCAAAATCATCACCGTTCACTCTCCCGCGTATTCTGTTTTTCTATTGAAGAGAGCAACTAATCATGAATTACAGGTCAAATATAATTAGAATACTCGCAAATTTATAGTGAACTCAATATTTATATAGATTACACCGATTCTCTGTATATCTGTAGCTGCAAAGATTGCCGGGTTGAACATCAAATGAGTTTAAAATCCGCCGATAAATCCAATAAAATTATGAATCACTTTGAAATTAATTCAACGCCTAAAAGTGAATAATCAATGTGATTGATATGTGAAATGTTCATGCGTGTAATCAAATACCAAATACAATTAAGTTTTATATCAGTTTGAAAACCAATTCCAATTCAATTGTTTTGTATCAAATAACTGGTATTTGCCACTCTAATTTGCTGAATTTCCAGTAAACAGCTGTCACTTTTCTGTAGGGTCAATTTGCTGGTCGTTCAGCAAAAATATTTTGCTGGAAGAATTGCTGGTTTTACAGCTCGGTAAAATCCAGCAAAATTTTGCTGGTTTCCAGCGATATAAAAATAGTGTGTAAGGCTGATGTTTTGGCAAAAATGTATAAGTGAAACACATAAATAAAATAATTGATTTTCGTTTCATGCATGGATTTCTTGCATCATGGTCAGATTAAAATTTACAGAGGAACTATAGAAGGCTTGAAAGCAATCACGATTGGAGATTAA